TTGATCCACCATGAAAAAAAAAAAAATCAAGACATTCTGAGGTGATTGCTGAAGGCTAAGGGAGTACAGAATGGGTGGTAGAAGAAGCTAATTATATATACTAGCTACAACCAGTTACAAAAATGAGGATTGTAATTGTTCTCTCCTAATTTGATTAATATGCTTCCTTATCAGTATAATGTTGACAGCTAACATTGGTTCTTAAGTATTGTTAAACCTATGTCATGTTTAAATTATGAAATGTTAGGAATATGCATCACCCAAAGAAAACTTTGCCTTCTATTCTGGGTAGGGAATTAGTGTGTTCCTATTTCTACACAGGATAGTTTTACCATGTTAGGAGCAATTATGATCATGTCTTTATATCTAAAGACTAAGTATAGTTTAACACATTCCCACCATCTTGAACCACCACTGGTACATGTATGACCACCAATGGTACATGCATGGGACAGTCATGCATGTACCAGCAGTAACTCAAACCACCCAACAGTGAGAATATATGAATTACACCCCTGTCATGATCGTGTCTGGTGTTGATAAGGGATGAATTATGAGAGATAACCATGGTGTCAACTTGAGTGAGAAATACTCAGCAAACTGGTTTAGCATGGTTCTGAGTATGTCTGAAAGACCCACTTATTGAAGAAAGAACTTGTGGGTGGCACCAACCAATAAGCTTGTAGCCTGGATGAAATAAAACAGGAAAGAGGAAAGAAGTCTCACTTCCATTTCTTCAAAGGAGAATCTTCACTATCACCTTTAGACATCTGCTCACAGGCTTCCAGCATAGATGCTTCAGCCTCGCAGCACACGCTCTTCAGTCATCCAGCACAGACCCTTTGGCTTCCTGATAAGGACTCACAGGGGACTCTGCAATGACTTCCAGGCCTTTGACTTCTGACTGAATCCTTCTGTTCTCCAGTGCACAGATGGCCCTTTTGCACTCTTCCAGACCTGGCTCTGCAGGCAGCCATTGTCAGCGTGTCTGACTGATACAAGACCCCATGCTGCATAATGAATAGCAAACCTAGCAGTTTCCTATTCAGTGCCTCCCAAACCTGAAGTCAAGGGGCTGGTTGGCCCTGCTGAGTTCACCTGGGGACAGGATTACAGAAGAATATAGTCCCAAGGGCTTCCAACTTGGATGGTCTACTTTCATGACTCTGAGCAGCTACTGCCTCAGTCAGCAAGCACGCCAGCCAAGACGGGCATAAAGTTGTATTGTCAGACATCTTTTCCTGTAATCTTTTTCCACTTAAGGGCTACACCAGATGGAGGACAAGGTTCTAAATCTGTTCTGGACATGAACACCATCTTCCTTCCTTTTAAATATTTGTCCCACTCCCCTGACTTCAGGAATGAATATTTTTTATTTATCTATTACCCTCAGTCCTAATCATCTTCCACCAAAATACCATCGCTAATATACAGATTGCATGTGACTTCCTATCCTTTGTGATAATCTTAAGTTTGTAAGTACGTAAGCTGTCTTTAGTATATAAGATATTTACTATTTTTCTATTTATTTCACTGTTACATAAATTATATCACAATACATTCATCAACCCAAATTTTCCTTTTTGACTCAATAGTATATTTTTAAACTTTTGAAGCTAATACTTACAAATTATGCTGATTACTTTTGTCTTCTATACATTAATCCTTTTTATGTATTACACTTTATTTCATTCCAATGCTAATCATCCTTTGGGTTTTTAATTTTTGTTTTAACAACAAATGCTTAAGTGAAATTTTTTGTGTACATCTTCTTTACTACACTTGATCTTAGCCAAGCGTTTCTATAGGTTTCTTTCTCCCTGGGCTTCTGCAGAAATAACCCAACTCCGAGAACACAGAAAGTTGGCTGGAAAAGGGAAGGCCACATATCCACTAATACTGTGGAGTGTGAACCTCCATGCTAGAATGCTTCTCACCCTTCCCAGGCTCCTCAGAGTAGGTGACGATTTGTAAATAAGAAGGATGGTCCTGGAGTCATCAGGAAACGCGCCAGTTTCTACACTTTCAGGGCTAACCCAGAACTCAAGCCCTAATCAGCCAGCTTTAAAGACCAGGACTTTTCAAACATGCTTTGCTACCCTCTAATGAAATAGTATTACTGTGATGCCAGTGACCTGCACATTAATAGAACTGCCATTAATGTATTTCACTATATCATAGCATGGATGAGTCCCTGGAATTTCCTCTGCATTTCTCTCCTCCATGTTTCAATCATCAAGTGTTTTGGTGACATGCTTCATTCATCATTTCCACTTCTCATCTTTAAAAAAACAGCTTTATTTATTCAATGTCATGTTCATTTAGCAGATTCATTTCTTTGTGTATATTTAGTTATTAGAAGAAAGCACAACTGTAGGCATTGACAGTGCCATGGTTATTTTCTTTCCTTTATGTACTTAGTATAAGGTCTACGAGGTCTTACTATGTAGATCAGACTCTAAGTGATCAGCCTGTTTTCAGCCTCCCAAGTGCTGGCATTACTGACGCACACCACCACACCCAGTCTCAATCATCATCTCAGCCCACCCCAGGGGCTTGTGGTGCCAGGGATTGACTCTCAGTCCCTGCACTCTGCCTAAGGAGGTGCTTTAGTCCACTGAGCTATCTAGCCAACCCTGAAAGTGTCATGGTTATTCACCATCATCGTATTAACTATTGTCCTTTGGGGGTAGTATTCATGAGTGAGCAGGTGGTCGTTATCCTTTAATGGCTCTTCTGTTGCTTTAATTTTCTTTCTCTGCTCATAATCTACATCCATTGCATGATAGATAAACTCTAAAATATCTTTAAAGATGAGAAAAAGCACAACTCTGAGACTTTCAAGAAGGTATTAGATATTGAATCAATGTTGAATTATAAGATTACTTATGGTCACTGGCATATATGTCAAAGAATACAAATTGAAGGTCACATCTGATTGTCTGTGACTCAGGGTTTTCTAATGATTAGTCAAGAAACCTTTGTATTCCACTTAAGGCAAGACAGCTAGACTTACCCCTATTTCAGTGTCTCTGATTTTCTGTACCTCACAATACCTGAATAAACTGGAATATTGTACAGTTTATGGTGCTCTACAGATTCATGCAATGAAATGAACTTTTAAAAAAAGAATTTACCTCTGGGCTGATTTACAAAATTCTTACTTATGTTCTTCAATAACATTGGTTAACTGAACAAATTCAGTTATTGAATTTGTAAAAACACTATGTGACTAGTCACAGGGAGCAATTTAATATTGCTTAAATAACTTGGTACTTCTTAAAATATTTTATTCACATCCCATTTCTCAACAGCATAGCTCATAGAGGGCAGGAGCTGTAAGCTATTCAGTTCATCAGCACAGAACATAACAGCCTAAAGCTACTGTAGTAGTGGTTCAGCAAGCATGTGTATTAATCATGACAAAATATGTCAATTGGGAGTCTTTTCATTGCAGGTAGAAGCTACCCATCTCAACTAGCCCAAGCAGCAAAAGGAATTTATCAGTACACATAAGAGGCAAAATCAAGAAGGCTTCTGTGTGGAATTAGAAATAGTTAGCTCCAGTTTTCAAAGGACTCATCATGATGTCTGTTTTCCATATTCCCTCCAATCTTTCTCCTTCCCTCATTTCTTTCCCCTGTATTTGCCAGCTTCTTGGGTTTTCCATGCAGTCAGCAACGGGGTCAACAGCTACTAGCAGCCCCAGATAGGAGACAATTTCTTTCTCACCAGCATCCATAATAGTTCCTGCATTTGACCCTCCCTGCTTGGGTGGATTTCAAGTAATTACTGTGGTCAGGACTCAGGATAGGTAATGAATGCCTGTCCCAAAACATGTGGTGTAGATAATAAATTATTTCCAAAAGAATAGCTGAAAGAATGACAAATAACAGAAATACATTATGACATCCATGGACAAGAACAAAAGAGATGAAAGAAGACAGATGTATGAGGCATCAGGGTCATTGGGAAGTGCATTCATTGATAATAAAATCAGCATGTCCTGAGAGGTGGGATGTGATTGGTCCCTCATGGGATGTGAGAGAAGAGACTTGGACAGTATTTTTGGGGGGAAAAGGGGCTGGCTCACCCCATCTTGAGGGCAGAGCTGACGTGGCATGTGGTGCTGGGGATTGAACTGCAGTCCCCTGCGCCTAAGTTTGCCTAAGCAGGCGCTTTAGACCACTGAGCTATCTCACCAACCCTGGACAGTGTTTAAATAGCTAAGAGTTTTACATATATTATAGACATCTATGTAAGATTCAGAGGACCTCAGGTGGGATGGCAAGAGGAGGTCTGTAAAAAGGGCTATAAGGCAATCTTAGCAGAAGAGAGGAAAATATAGCTACTATGTGCAGAACCTTTGACCTGAACAAGGTGTTGGAACAATGAAGGCACTTCACAAAGTGCAGAAGAAGTGAACATGGTGCAAAACTTATTAAGCAAACACATTATGTTTTCAATATCACATGATCAACTCGCAGCATTATATGAGTTGATTCACACTTTCTCTCTTGCTGGGTGGGTAGCATGTTGCTCTTTCCAGTGAGGCCTAAATTGTATCACCTTAAAGTGAAGTCTGATGCCTAAGCCAGTAAATGACCAGATTAAAAAAATAATAAAGGAATCAAGATAATTTATCAAATAGCATGATAATAAATTACGTGGAACAATTGTCATATAAGCATCTACTATTTTTCTCTTTTTAAAGCAACAGATGAGAAGAATATTGTTTTGTTTGATAACAGCAGTACACAGAATACATTTAGAAATGAGAAAATTGTGGGTAAAGTACAACAGTCAGTACATGCCACTAGATAACTGTCCTATCTTACCCTAGATGCTTCATTCTTAAGAGAAAGAACTTGATAATGTTTGGCTTCTTCAAGCTTCAGCATCCTATAGCAGGCCTTCTGTATCTTTTAAGGTATGTGATACAAAAAATGTGACAAAGCAGAAAGTTTGCTAACTCCATCTTTCTCTCTCTTTTTCTCCAGACTATGTCAGAGAGTCACAATGACCTTGCACAATAGCAGTACAACCTTGCCTTTGTTTCCAAACATCAGCACCTCCTGGATATACAGCCCATCAGAAGCGGGGCTACCCCCAGGGACAGTCACTCATTTTGGCAGCTACAACATTTCACATGCAGCTGGGAATTTCTCCTCCCCCAATGGTACCACTAGTGACCCTCTAGGAGGTCATACCGTCTGGCAAGTGGTCTTTATCGCATTCTTAACAGGCTTCCTGGCCCTGGTGACCATCATCGGCAACATCCTCGTCATAGTGGCCTTTAAGGTCAACAAACAGCTGAAGACAGTCAACAACTACTTCCTCCTAAGCCTGGCCTGTGCGGATCTGATCATCGGGGTCATTTCCATGAATCTGTTTACTACCTACATCATCATGAACAGATGGGCTTTGGGGAACTTGGCCTGTGACCTCTGGCTTTCCATTGACTACGTGGCCAGCAACGCTTCTGTCATGAACCTTCTGGTCATTAGCTTTGACAGGTACTTTTCCATCACAAGGCCACTCACATACCGAGCCAAAAGAACAACAAAGAGGGCCGGTGTGATGATTGGTCTGGCGTGGATCATCTCCTTCGTCCTTTGGGCTCCTGCCATCTTGTTCTGGCAGTATTTTGTGGGGAAGCGGACTGTGCCTCCAGGGGAGTGCTTCATTCAGTTCCTCAGTGAGCCCACTATCACCTTCGGCACGGCCATTGCCGCCTTTTATATGCCTGTCACCATTATGACTATTTTGTACTGGAGAATCTATAAGGAAACTGAAAAGCGTACCAAAGAGCTTGCTGGCCTGCAGGCCTCTGGGACAGAAGCAGAGACAGAAAACTTTGTCCACCCCACGGGCAGTTCTCGAAGCTGCAGCAGCTATGAGCTGCAGCAGCAGAGCCTGAAGCACTCGTCCAGGAGAAAGTACGGCCGCTGCCACTTCTGGTTCACAAGCAAGAGCTGGAAGCCTAGCACCGAACAGATGGACCAAGACCACAGCAGCAGTGACAGCTGGAACAACAATGATGCTGCTGCTTCCCTGGAAAACTCAGCGTCCTCCGATGAGGAGGACATTGGCTCAGAGACAAGAGCCATCTACTCTATTGTGCTCAAACTTCCAGGACACAGCACCATCCTCAACTCCACCAAACTGCCCTCCTCTGACAGCCTGCAGGTACCTGAGGAGGAGCTAGGCCCCATGGACATGGAGAGAAATGCCAATGAGCTTCAGACCCAGAAAAGCATGGATGACAGTGGCAATTTTCAAAAAAGCTTCTCCAAACTCCCCATCCAGTTGGAGTCCACCATGGACACAGCCAAGACTTCTGATGCCAACTCCTCAGTGGGTAAGACCATGGCCACTCTACCTCTGTCCTTCAAGGAAGCCACACTGGCCAAGAGGTTTGCTCTGAAGACCAGAAGTCAGATCACAAAGCGGAAGAGGATGTCTCTCATCAAGGAGAAGAAGGCGGCGCAGACCCTCAGCGCCATCTTACTCGCCTTCATCATCACGTGGACGCCCTACAACATCATGGTTCTGGTGAATACTTTTTGTGACAGCTGCATCCCCAAAACCTATTGGAATCTGGGCTACTGGCTGTGCTACATCAACAGCACCGTGAACCCCGTATGCTATGCCCTGTGCAACAAAACCTTCAGAAACACCTTCAAGATGCTACTGCTGTGCCAGTGTGACAAGAGGAAAAGGCGCAAGCAGCAGTACCAGCAGAGACAGTCGGTCATTTTCCACAAGCGCGTGCCCGAGCAGGCCTTGTAGAAGGACGTTTGATCACTAGCAGTGAAAAGACGCACACATCAACCCACAGACCTTAGGAGGAGAAAGGTGAGGGTGGGGTGATTCCTGGTGGTGATAAAAATGGTTTTTTTAATCACCCACATATGAAAGAAGCTGCCTGTTTACTCACCCATTGAATAAACTGATTTTAACAGTAAAAGTCAAACACCAATTCAGCAAAAAAAAAAAGCCTACTACTGAATATAAAGAAATTTATTCTGAAATAGACGTTAATTTTTTTTTGTTTGTTTTTTTGTTTTTTTCTTAAAGAGGAAAAAAAATATTGCTTCACAGCAAATTGATTTGCCTGGGTATTTTAATTCCCATTAACTCTGGAATCACAGATAAGCCTGCTGGCTGTGCTCTTCTTCCCAAGGATTCCAAGTGCTGATCCAGACCACGTGTGGAACACAGCAGGCTCGTGACTCTTTGGTTCTGAAATTATGCCGTATGTTGCAAAGCTGAACCTTCTTGTCCCAATAGAGCTTCCGTCCTCTCTTTGGTGTGTTGTTGAACTTAATTTGTGGACTTGATTCCTGATTCTTGCAAAATACTGTTTTGTGAGTTTGAAGTTTCGTGAAATAAAAATGCATAAGTATATGTGTGTGTATGTGTGTGTGTAAGTTACACACACACACATAGTGTATATAATATAATGGGAAGCACTGAACTGGCAAATTATTCCTGCAATATCTGCTTTCAGTACTTTGGTAACTGAAGTTCTCTAGGATCCTATACAATATAAATGTGGAATAAGCCCAGTTTAATATTTTTGACACTGGGTCTGTTTTCCACAAACTACCCTGAAAAACATCCAGCAGAAAGCAGCCAGGTTGTCCCAACAGACCTATGCAGAGCAAACAGCCGCAAGAGGCAGCTGGGCAATGTGGCTCAGCTGGGCTCTGGACATAGGCAGTCTCTTCACTGGCCTCTCCCTCCACAAAGCTAAGTCGAGCCCCTCTGAGCTAAGGAATGAACCACACCCACATGTTTGGATTTAGTCACTGTTTTGAATGTTTCAAAACAAAATGTCTACAGCCTAAACCGCTTTGAAACTCAATCCTAGTGTCACATTTGAATGTCACACTCAGCAATATACACTGCAAAGGAAAAGGAACTTTGGGGTGAGGAGGGGTGGAAGAAAATACTGCATTTGATTTCTTGCTACCTGCCTGGCCTCTTCTAAAGGAAGTTAGGGCTGACCCCTGATGCTTAGCCGTGGCCAGGGCTTTCTGGCCCTCTGGCCTTCCATGAGTGACCTCCGCCTAGGAACAGGTGGGGTAGGAATTGTCCCAGCCTCTGAAGAAAAAGTTACACTTGGAAAGTATTGCTTCAAACTGATTTCCTTATCTTCAGAAAGCTAATTTTGTATTATCCTTTGAACTACCCTCAATGCTCAATGTTTTCTCCAGGGGAGGGGAGGGGTCCTGCTGCTGTTGCTGTTGTCTTACCGCTGCCATCCTTGTAGGGTTCCTTCTTTTCCTTTCACTGGGGCTGTGTGGGGAGCGGGAGGGTGGGGTGGGGGGTGGGAAGGCAGGGAGGCCTCTTCCCTGAGTCCCAGCATCTGCGTGGCACACCCAGAGCCGGGACCCACGCTGCTTTTGTATTCAGTGTGAGGTGGTGTTTACAGCCAACTTTGAGCAGTGGAAGTGTACTCAGTGGTGTGTGTGTGTGTGTGTGTGTGTGTGTGTGTGTGTGTATCTGATCTATTTAATGTTGTGTTATGTTTATATGAAGAAATATTTATGCATACTTCACCAAGTGTTTATTTAATGTTGATGAATATGACTTGTTCAGTCATGGTATCCTTTGAAAGTGATTCTTTTAAGCTCCTTTTGAACAATGGGCCCACTGAGCTTTCCTGTGGTGAAGAAGAAGAAAAATGTCTTCTCATTGGCATCCACAAGTACCTAGCTCTTTCTAGGTAGTAAAAAGTCAACTATTACTTAAAGATAAATGTTAAAATCACCCTTTTAATGAAACCTGATGGGGTTCCCCACAATTGCATATGAAATCCTATTACAAGGGGGGAAAGCAAATTGTAAGAATTTTATTTTAATTTTTGGCCCACATTCAACCAAAGAACAAGAAAAACCAGAGACTATTTTCTAATGTGTATAGAAAACTATAGAATGTTATGTATCCACTTGTGAAATGTCCAGTAGGCAACTGCATCTATATTTTATTACTCAAGTTGACCAGGCACTAGTAAATTTGTGATTGCTGATTCAAGTCTCCCAATGCATCAGTAATCCCCATCCTTATGGGAAATTTCCACCCTGCCTCCTTTTCCAGAGTTGTTCCCTGTATTTAAAAAAAGAAAATTTAAGAAACAGAAGAACCTTGACCTTAGATAGAACTTAAAGGATTAATTAAGATTCTACTTAAACAAGAGCATCTCCTGATCTTTGTCCTTTTGTGAGATAGAAACGCTGGAAAGGGAAGCCCAACGCTGTAGCTGTCCTTTTTTGCTGCTGATTTTACATAGAATTGTTTCTAAACCTCTTATAGATGAAAGCTGCTCCTATATACTGTTGGTTGGCCCTTTACACAAAGATATGGCCAGCCTTTGGGCCTTCTGTCCAAGCAAAATAGATTTATTCAAACATGAAGTTGAAAAGTTTAATTGAAGATATAGCAAGTGTTTGTAACTGGACATTAGTTACACATTCTTGTTAGAAGAGGTAGCCAGCATTCACAAAAAGTGAAAATATCTTCATCCTCAATCTTGGAATTGAATTATTTTGTCCATGTGAATGAGGTTTGCAGAGTTACAGGATTAGATTAGCTACTGCAACTGAAAGAGGAAAATAAACCATACCCAGGAGACATGTAATCTCTACCATCCCCTCTTTCCCTCCCCTCTGTCCTCCTCTCCCTCTCTTCTCTCTTTCATGTGTGCACCACACACGCACATGCACACACACGTGCACACACACACACACACACACACACACACCCCTTCTGTTCTTCAAGCCTTGACAGATGAGCGGGAGAAGTAAGCACTCTGGTCTGTTTCTTCCCCTCTTTTTGGCTCTGCTTTCTTTGGCCCATCTTTTGCCCTGTGGCCTCTGTGATTTTTCTCTTATCTTGAATCACCCTTTGCCTCTCCAACTCAGCCTTCTATCTACATTGTGTCCATTTTTGTGCATACCTCTATAGCTGATAATTCTAGAGTCTAATGAAAGAAAACAGACCAAGGGCCATAAGCAGCAGCTACTACTGAGGTTAAAGGCCCAGAAGGTGTAGGATGCTCTCCATCTCACTGCCCATGCTGAAGAAGGGCAAGTCCTGAGGCTCTGCAGAGAGGGATCAGCCTCTGGGCAGAGGGAGAGAGGTGGGAAGGCTGGGGCTGCTACAATCTGGCTGCTTCAGCCCTACCTCCAAGAGGGGGAGAGGCTCCCCCAGCTCGGGCCCAGCGGCAAAGCCTGATGCAGACTGTAGCAAGGCACAGGAGGATCCTCCGGGGTGTCTTGGATGCCCCTGCATAACGAAGCTCAATGACAGGGACGTGAGCCATGGGGCCTAGTCTGGCCCTGGCAGCATGTGAGCACAAGTGAGGTGGGGCAGTGCAGTACAGAAGCATTTACCTGAGAAAAAGGAGCCTTGCCTGCTTGCTCTGTTTCTTCATCTCAGACGTGCCTGTCATGTAACCCAGCCCTCCCCCATGCTTACGCTGAGCAACAGCACTGACGCATCTCTAATTTATCTTTTTTTCTGTATTTGCTCTATTGATGATTGAACCTAGGACTTTAACAATGAGCTATATCCACGGCCCTTTTTGTACTGTTTATTCTGAGACAGGATTTCACTGAGTCCCAAATGGCCCAGGCTCAACTCAAACCTGTGATCCTCCTGCCTCAGCTTCCCAGAGTACTGTGATTGCAGACATCTACCACCGTGCCTGGCTCTCTAATTTACTCTCTGACAGACAATATGTCAAAGAGAAGGAATGGCATGGACTTCATAGCTACCAAGATGAATATAACACGGAAAACATGGCTACTGCTTGAAATTTTCAGACTTCAAAAGATGCAAAAAGTTACTTAGGTTGTCAAACAACAAACGCTAAAGAACTCTTGCAATTCATTGGTAAACCTTCAATTCTATTGTTAAAATGTCCCAGGCTGCAAGCTTCAGATGGTTTGAAGCAAAAGTTTGTTTTGGCTGATATGTGTCTGTAATCCCAGCACTCTGGGAAGCTGAGTCAGGAGGGCTGCACACTCAAACCAGCTGAGAAATTTAGCAACTTAGCAAGACACTGTCAGGTTGAGGGTGCAGAGCAGTGTGAAGATCCTGGGTTCAATATCCCACGTCATAAAAAAAAGTTCGTTTTGATTTTGCAGTGGTATTTCTCATAGTGGGACTAAAACTTAATAATGGGTAGCATTTAAGGCAGTTATCCTAAATGCTAAAAAGCATTTAAAGTTACACTTTCTTCAACCTAAATATCCTCCTACTGCCATCTCTTCCAAAAGAATGTTTCTGTCTAATGCGATGTGCAGCAAACTTGTCCAAGGGAGATAATTTGGGCCTATGATAGGTTTAAAGATAATCTGACTGCTTTCCCTCAACACGTGTCAGGCACACACTCTCTTCTTTTGTGTTTGTGGCTCTAAATATTCAAGCTTAGAATGCTGTGTGAGTGCACACTCCAGCCAGGACCTGAGAATGATTGGCAGTGTGCTTCGGGACTGGAGGATTTCTCTTCTCTTCTCTTCTCTTCTCTTCTCTTCTCTTCTCTTCTCTTCTCTTCTCTTCTCTTCTCTTCTCTTCTCTTCTCTTCTCCTCTTCTCTTCTCTTCTCCTCTTTTCTCTTCTTCTCTTCTCTTTCTGGCTTCAGGGCTACCATCCAAGAAAGGAGGCTCATGTTAAGATAGTAAAGTGAATACAGAGGATTGAGTTCCTAAAATGCCTGTGCTCGCTGCAAGTCTGTCACAACGCCAGTCTTAGTGGACGAGCGCCATCAGGAGCAGTGTGCGTGCTGTTAACTGCGCATCACAACTCAGAGCATCACAGACAGCGGTGGACCAGGCAATTGGGTGGGTGGAAGTAGGTGTCCAAATGCTTTAGTGTGGAATGAGGCCTGGCGCTCTACTAAAAACTCAGAGCCTCAGTTCAGAGCTCTGACGCTACCCTTCTGGGATGGACCAAGAACACCCTGAATAATCAC